CGGGGCCGGCCGGTGACGGTCACTGCCAGCTTCTCGCCAGGCTGGAAGGGATGAGCGGGGCTGGCGTGGGAACTGCTCCAGATCACCGGCTCTCCCCTGTCCCCCCCCCATCTCACGCCTTCCCGTGCTGTACAGGTGAACCAGGGGAACATGCCGGGCATCCAGAGCACCTTCCTGGCCATGGACACCGAGGAGGGCGTGGAGGTGGTGTGGAACGAGCTGCTCTTCACCGACAGGAAAGCCTTCAAAGCACACGAGGTGAGCCTTCCCTCCTGCTGGGGACCCTGACCACCTCCCCGAGACCCTCCCGGCCAGCAGCACCAGCCCCTGCTGTTGGTGGGCAGCAGCACAGCCAATGCTCATCACTGCCGGCCGTGCTGTGCTCTGGTATTCATGGCACCGTGCCTTCCCTGGGGTTCTCAAAGACAGCTCCCTGTGTCCTTGGCACCGCAGAAACAGCTTTTCCTGTGGCTGGGGGCACAGTCTGCTCCCCAGCCCCGGGCTCCTCTGCTCTCAGAGATGTCCTGCCGTGTCCCAGGACGTCCCTGCCACCTCCCAGGACATCCCTGGCACCTCTCCTGTCCTCTCTCTGCCCGCAGGAGAAGATCAAGACCATGTTTGAGCAGCTGGTGCTTGTGGATCACCCCAACATCGTCAAGCTCCACAAATACTGGCTGGACGTGAAGGACTCGAAAGCACGGGTAGGGAGGACTCGGGGAGACGAAGCATCCGGCGGGACCCCAGGCTGGGGGGGGGATGCCAGCAGGAGCCAGGGGGGATCCCGGCTCTGTTCCTGGCCCCACTCCCCGGTGCTGGTGCTGGCTGTGTGGAGCCAGGGAAGCTGACGCCTCTCTTCCCTCCCAGGTCATCTTCATCACAGAATACGTGTCCTCAGGGAGCCTGAAACAGTTCCTGAAGAAAACCAAGAAAAACCACAAGGCCATGAATGCCAGGGTAGGTTCCCTGGGAGCAGGCACAGGGTGGCCCGGCAGGTCTGTGCCCACCCCCAGCACAGGGCAGGGGTCTCTGGTCCTGTAAGGCACAGCAAGTCTGTATGGCTGCTCCGTGAGTGATGCGGGGACTCTGATGCGGGGAAGTGGCATCTTGGTGAGGCCGGAGCAAGAGCAGAACTTTCCCAGGAGACCCCAGAGAGGGATCCTGCTGCTGGGATCTGACCTGAACGTGAGAATCTGCAGGAGCTGTGGCAGCGAGGTTCAGCTGCATGATGCTGGCTGCTCTGGCGGCTGCATTGTGCTTCGGGAGGGCTGCAACTCCAACACCCTCCATGACAAATGGTGGCCTTGCGGACAGGTCACTGCTTGGGTTGAAGGGACCAGTTTCACCAGCAAATCTGCCAGAATGGGTCTGACTGATGGTTCTGCAGGGGGTCCCAGCTGGCTGTGACTATTCTGGGGGCCCCGTGCAAGCCCTGCTGTGAATTTTGAGCTCAGTATCACACCAGTGCAGCTGGGCACTCCTAGAACTGTTGGTGTGGACACAGAAAACCACATGCCCAGATCCCACCGCCACAGCTCTGCTTCCTCTGTTGTCTGTCCACGCTCCCACTGGGGTTCTGGGGCTCGGGAGAGCTCTGTCTGCCACTGAGGATGAGTTCTCAGCTTGGATGGTGTTCTTTGAGCAGGGGTTGGAAAGGAGACTACTGTTGCTGGGACAGCGCGTGGCATCTTTGAGGAGCAGTCTCTGGAGGGCTGGCGGGGGGCTGATGTCTCCGGTCACCGGGGAAGGGGTAGGAATGACCGGATCGGCTGCTCTGACGGGTGTCCCGTCTGACAGAGAGCTCTGGTCTCTGCTCTAGGCCTGGAAGCGCTGGTGCACCCAGATCCTGTCGGCTCTCAGGTAAGATCCCGTCGTGTGCGCTGCCAGCCGTCCTGCCCGTGGGGCTGGGCGTGGGGAACATGCTCAGGGCGGCTCGGTGCTTCCCCAGCTTCCTGCACTCCTGCGAGCCTCCCATCATCCACGGCAACCTGACCAGCGACACCATCTTCATCCAGCACAATGGGCTCATCAAGATCGGCTCAGGTAGGAGCCGCAGCTCCCGGTGCCGATGG